TTTTGGTTCAGGTGATTCTAAATTCTATTTCAAACAAGTAATTAAAATAAAAAAGGCAGTGGCTTGTCCCCTCATCTCCACACCCTTCCCTTTTGTCGAATTTATCATTCTGTATCTCTAATTTGAAACAGTCATCTGAGGTATACAGCCAAAGCTTGCTAAGGCGTACAGGAAGTTGCTAAACATTTTGTGAAATTTCATGAAGTGGTTTAACTGTGTGTCTCACTGGATTGAGACATCTTTGTTCCAAAGACTTTTCCCCCTCCGGCATTATTTTTGCTCTTTCTTGGTTTTTATTTTATTTATTTAAAATTTTAATTTATCAATTTTAATTTTAAATTAATAAAATAATTAAAAGCATTTTTTGGTTTTTATTTTGTATAAATACAGTTTCAAAAGTTAGTTTTCTGAAAAGGCAGCTTATGTACGTAGTATCAAAATCACAAGGCAGAAATAATGAAAGGCCAGTATCCCCACCCCCCACCCCCCACCCGTTTTTCAGCTGCCCAGATCTCCTCCCCACTGGTAGCCAGTGGCATCCTTTTAGTGTGAGGCTATGTACACGTGCACACAGAGTTGTTTTGTCTGTTTTCTGACACAGGTGATAGTGTACAATTCTGCTGCCCCTTGCTTCTTTTTCTTTCTTTTGTTTTTTAACTTCGTGTCTTTTAGAGGTTGATCCCTATCTGCATATACAGAGCTCTTGTGACATTTGACTTCCTTCTGTCTTTCCTGAGAGTTCTGTTTCTGTGTTTCCAGGAACTGCCTTGTCTTTTAACTAACGCTGAAAGTGCTGCTGGTGGTGGGTGAGGGAGCTGGGGAGGGGTCTTCCCCAACGGGCACTGCACACCTCTTCACATTCCTCCCAGGAGAGCAGTGGGGGTCACTTACCCAGGCAAATGTAGGGAGGGGAGCGCTGAGCTCCTGGAGGGAGGCAGAGAGATTGAGATGGAGAGAGGTACACGCGGAATTAGGTAAGAGGACATTAAAGATTCCCATGTCCCTTGTGTCTCAAGGCTGAAAATATCTCTACCTCTAATTGCCTGGTCTCCAGAGTTCTTGGTATACACATCTGCTGGAAATGATGCTTTTTCAGACCTACTCACCAATAAAATTCTGTGATTCCAAGATCTTCAACAAGCGGTGAGGAGGGCTTGGTTTTCGGTTGTAAAGAAACACCTCTTGAGAGTAAAGCCCACGAACCAGGACTCTTCATTGTTCACCTTTCAGTGGACGTACCTAAAAGAATCGTACCTGTATATTTTACTTTCTTATTTCTGCCAATGAAATGTGTGCATTTGGTACATGTTGTCTGAAGTGAATTAACCTTAAGGGTCCCGGAATCTTCTCTCTTCTTTCACCTCCTTGTTGGAGTAAGAACAGAATGCTTTAGGAATGTGTGTGCTTTCCTCTGGAGAAAAGACCAAGTAGAGAAGAGCTTCTATTTTTTGTCTGCTAGGGACGTTGAACTGTTTTTACTCCCTCCTCCTAAAGATAATGGCCTATTCTTCTCCCAAACTGGAAGTGTTCACTTGCTTGCAGGCTATTTAACAAAAGGGAAGCAAATCAACATTTATATGAAATTATATTTAGAGAGCCACTTTACATAAATGTTGAGGGAAATACAAAATGATTTTTTATTTTTTTAATGTATAGGGCCTGGAGTTTACAAAAAGGGTATAGTGAAGACTGCCATATTTATTTTTATAATCTCAGCCACATTGAGTTAACCTTTTCCTCAGTTTTATAATTAGCATTACTAAGTTTCAAAAGTTAAGGTGATTTATGTGTTTTTTATCTTTTTACTGAGGTATTTAGAATGTCTTTTTATATATCTTTAAGTGACTGCCAGTTCTGTTATCTCAGTTTAAAAGAAGGGCAAAATGAGGCTATAAACTAAAAAAAAAAAGTCATTTCCTCAAGATTTAGGGTGGGGCTATTTCATCATAATAACAAATAATGAATTATTAGTATGCATGTTGCTAATGGAAATTGCAGAGAGAATTTAAAGGCAGGTAGTGGGCTGTAAAATGATTTCCCACTTATGCGTTTTCATGAGTGCTGGAGAGCCAAAAAGATTGTCCTTGTCTCTAGTGTACTTGGCAACCCTCAAACATTTATTAGAGTAATACGTGTCTAGATCTGGTTCCCTGTTGCCAATTTCTAGAAGAGTTGGAGAAGTTAAAACAGAACAAGAAAAATGGTTTTAAATAGCTAGACTGAAGATTGCTAAACCAAAGGAAATGCACTTACTGACTAAAGATGGGAAAAGCCACAGATCTTGGATTGGTTATCAGTGAGGACCTTAAAATGCTAGTTAGGTAACCATAATTGGGGGGCACCACTAACACACTCATTTCCTGAAGAAGGCCTTGAATTTGATGGCCTAGGAGAGTTCCTTTGTTGTAGTTATTTTGTAATTAGCCCTCTTTAGCTCAAGTGAAAATACCAAGGGCCTCCCCAGTATTTTCAGAAACAACTTACACATCTTTTAAAGATTGCCTATTGTTTTATAATAGATGGATCACATTCTTTGGTAATTAAGAAAAAAAAAAACCTGTTTATTTTGGAATAATTTTAGATTTACAGAAGAGTTGCAACTATGCCACTCGCAGTTTTCTCCAGTGTTAACATCCACATTACCATGGTGCATTTGTCAAAACTAAAAAATCAACACTGATATATAACTATTAAGTAAATTTCAAACTTTTTGAATTTCACCAATTTTTCCGTTAATGCCCTCCTTCTATTCCAGGATCCTGTACCTTATAATTCACCCACCTAAAGTGTACAACTCAGTGTTTTTTAGTATAGTCACAAGGTTGTCACAATCTAATTTTAGAATATTTTTGTTCCCCCTGAAAGAAACCTGGGTCATTAGCAGTTCCCACCTCTTCCCAAATCCCTCATTCCTTCACCTCTTCCTCCCTCTAGCCCCTGGCAACCACTAATCTGCTTCCTCTCTATATAAACTGGCCTGTTCTGGCTATTTCATATGAATGGAATCATATGGTATGTGTCTTTGTGATTGGTTTCTTTCATTTTTGAGAGTCTTGGGTGATTTTCAATTGGTTGCTCATGCTCTGTCGTGCTTTATCTGTGGGAATATTTAGAGACCAGGATTTAAAGCACAAGCCTTTTGAGAGAATTTGCATTTCCTCCTGCCGGGGCACCTGGGAGCACTCCCAACCGGGCTTGCTGAAATTGTATTTTCTGCTTTGGATTTATTTTTCCTTTTTTTGGTCATACAGGGCATGTGAACGCAGGCCTCCAAACTTTCATTCTCAGGGGAGTCTTTGTACATTTTGTCTATCCGCCCAGAGCCAAGGCCCACATAAACACACATCCCTCTGTCTCCGTCTGTGGGGAGGGCCTGTTCCCCTAGTGAGGTGTCACCTTTCAGAAGTTTAGGAGGGGTCTTGGCTTTGAGACATGTCTTAGCTTTATGCAGAGTCTCTAATTCTTCCTCTCCCGTCTCCCTTCTTGGCTTGCTTTGTGTCTGGTGCCCAAGCCCTAGGCTACCTGGATGGGTTTATGTCCCGGGGCAAATGCCAGTTCCAGTGGTGCTTGCAGCTCTGATTTCTGCTTTCTTGCATTTCTGGCTTCTGAGGAACTCTCTTACTTTTCCACCAGTTCAGCTGTACAAGAAAATAATCCAGCACATCCACATGAACTCATGTTTAGCTTAATATAGATATAGGTGTTTACGTGTAGGAATATCTATAGATATGTGTATGTTCAAGGGTTAGTATACACACGTATATTTCCTGCTCTGTCAGCTGAGAGGAGTGATACTCCATTAGCAGTGCATATACCTACACTTAGATCTTGGTTTCCAATATCTGTTTCCAGTAAAAGGAACCAGGACTTTTTGGAGGAATGGCTGGTTCTGGGACTGGGGCAGGAATTATACAAAATGAGCCTGCAGTATTTCGTAGTACCAGAAAGTAAAGAAATACAGAAACAAAAACAGAAACTCAAAATGATCAAAGTGTGTAAAATGAACATAGGAGCCAACTGAAAGAGCTTCCAGTGGGCAAAGCTGGAACAATTTGAGAAAGAAAAAAAAAAGTGTTAGTTTATAGAAATATAAATTATAGACCTATAATCTATCGATTATAAAACTATTAGGTTATAAGCCAAAATATAAAATAAACATCCATGAGTTTGTACCGCTATAAATAAATGAGTGAATAAAAACATAAATGTCAGAAAATATTGGGTCGTTGGAAAAGTCATGACGTATTTTTCTATGTTTTTTGTTGCAAAAATGCGTCATGACTTTTCCGATGACCCAATAGACAAATCTCCCTGCAGAATTCCAAATAGTTCATGTAGATACTCTTCCTTCAAGGAGGGAAGTGTAACTCTCTACTCCTTAACTGTGGACTGTGCATGGTGACTTCCTCCCAAAGAGGACAGTATGGAAAGGGAAGCATGGGAGAGTAACCACATGACTTCGGCCAAGTGAGCAAAGTCAACATCAACAGTGATAATTATATTGATAGTATGTTACCCTTAATATGATGTGAAAAGGACACTTGACTGCTGTGATCTTCCTCCCCCAAACCCATAACCCATGTTTAATTCTGAAGAAAGCATCAGACAAATCCCAATTGAGAGAGTATACACAAAATACCTGACTAGTACTTAAAACTGTCAAGGTCATCAAAAACAAGGAAAGGCTGAGAAAGTGTCATAAGCAAGACATGACAACTAAATGTAAGGTGGTATCCTGGGTGGGATCCTGGAACAGAAAAAGGGCACTAGGTAAAGACCGAGGAAATCTGAATAAAGTATGGGCTTTAGTTAATATTAGTGTATCAGCACTGGTTTATTAACATAAATGTACCATGAGATGTAAGATGCTAATAATAAGGGAAGCTGGGTGTGGGGTGTGTGGGAACTCTGTACTATTTTTGCAATTTTTCTGTAAATCTAAAACTGTTCAAAAAAGTAAAATTTACTTAAAAAAATGATGCTTTTTATTTTTAATCTAGGATCATTAGCTGTGCTGTATCTGTGAACACTGAGCTCACCATATTGTCAGACTTGGAAGTTGAGACTAGTATGCTTTTAGAGAATTTTCTAGTCAGAGGAATGGAAAGAAAACAGAAAACCGGTATGTGCTTATGCTTTCGATTTACATTTTGCTGGAAAGTAAGATTTATCAAAATCTTTGCATGCATCTAAGTCACTTTCAGTACAGATGGAAAGGACTTTTCATTCACCCAAATCCTCAGGCTCCTCATCAGTTAATTTTCATGAATGAATACTTGTTTAATAAGATAAATATTTCTCCTCGTAACATCAAACAATAGAACCACCCCAAAACAAAGCTCGTCATTCCTTTACCACTCTGCACTGAGATACTTCCTCTTTGAGTTTTGATCTTGGAAATGCTATTCTGCCTTTCAGTTTTCTGTTCAACGGAACAATTCTATGTGCATCTTGTTTAGTCCACAAGCATCCGTGGAAAACAACCTGCTCATAAGGAATGATGGAGTACTAACTATATAAAAGAGACCAAATTTCAGACCCAGGCTGTGTAATAGATGCTTGGGCTTCCCTCTGAGATCTGTCCCCTGTACTCACCTTGCTCTAAGGTAGTGGGAAGAATGCTGGAATAGGACTGTGAAAAGCTGGGTTCTAGGCGTAGAGCCAGTATTTATTAGATGCGTGGCCTTGGAAAATCTGTTTAACCTTTCTGAGCCTGATTCCTTATTTGTAAAATGAGCTGATAATACCCAGATTAAGGGGTTGTTGTGAATATCAAATGAGGTAGGTGACCCATGGGGAAGGTTTTAGTAAACTATTTAGTAAACACATAGATATTGTTTGCTATTATTTTCCCACTGTCAGCCCCATCCCATTTTTGAAGCCAGTAGAGGAAAAGGCTTCATTGATATAGCATTGAACTTAAGAAATACACATTTTCTGTCTTGCGGTTTACTCTCTAGTGGTGTAAGCTGGACAGCTGTCTTCATTAAAACGTCTTGGGTTTAAATGTGCTTTGGGGACTACCTTAATGAGTGGATAGGCCGCCTGGGCAGCGAGGTGGGTGTGGATGTTTTTGGAAGGGAAGTTCAGTTTTCAGTTGGTATCTAGTGAAGAGAAGAAAAAGACTGGACTTAGGGGATGCTAGGGGATTTAGAGTACTTCAGGGCAGGAAAGACAGGGCGGAAGATGGCAGTAAGTAAAGACGTGGACACAGAGGGAAAGAAAACTTTTTTTAATGTGGTGAAATGGGAGGGTGGAGATCTAAGCTGAAATGTCAGTATGTTTAGTGCACCCAGGAAGTGTGAAAGAACCTTGCAAAGGAATGACTGTATTTATCAGGTAAACATTGCTTCTTTTCTTTTTTAAGATTTTTATTGGGGAATTGGGGGATGGGAACAGAGCTGGGGAATTGGGGGAAGGGGAACAGACAAGTTGCTATCCTTTTGTTCTTCATTCTAGTTGTGCAGGACGTTGCTTCACTGGCCCAAGTTGGCACCATCATTGCGCTCTTCCCGGGCGAGGCAGTCGCCGGCTTCTGGACGGCTGCTCACTGCGGCTGCTGGCCGCTCACGCTGGCTGCTGGCTACACACGGTAGCCCATGGCAACCCACTGCATCAGGGGCTACAGCCCATGCCTTCGCTGGTGACTCACATCAGGTTGAGCTGTTGTTCAGCATCTTAGCTGTGGAGGGCAGTGTCACTGGCCTTCATATGTGGGATCTGAACCGGGGCCCTCTGGCATCCCAAGCCAGCTCTTAACCAATGAGCCACTAGACCGGCCCAAACATTGCTTCTTATCACCTAAAAGCCTGGGGTTGTTCATTGCCACCAGAGTGGTTTTGCCTGTGGAAATAATAAAATAAAAATCAGCTGTCTGCTATAACAGTGTGGCACAGTTTTTTACTTATTGGCCAGTTGCGTATGTGAAAGATGTAACTTCTATCTCTTTCAATAAAAAGGAAAAAGCTGAATTCTTGAGGAGGTGTGGGCCATAGATGTCCTTATTTATTCTATCATATGGCAATAGTTAGACCTTTACCTCACGGTCATAGTGCTAATTGACCTATAAATAAAACTTTCTACAATGAGTGATTTTTATACATTGTGCTAAACATTCAATATGAATTACCTAAGCCACACAACAAACCTATGTGGTAAGAAATAATATCCCCCCATAAAACATCTGGGAGAGTAAGTCACTTGTGGAAGATCCCATGGCTGGGCAGCAGTAGAACCAGGATTTGGATGCAGGAAGTTTGGGTTCCCATCCTGGACTCTTACCCACTCTTGTTATTTTATGCTTAAAGGGCATCAAGCGCAGCCTCAAAGCAGGGATGATTCTGAGAATATTTGGGTAAATCTGGGAATGAACCAGAATATAAAGAGTTTTGGATCTGCCCTGTTTGGCTTGTCCAGTGTGGTAAAATGACCCAGGGAAGGTGTTTTGCTCTCCTGGCCATAGCAGGTGGTACTGTGGAAAGGCAGGTGGCCACAGCAGTCCACTCTGTGCTGGTCAAGTCACAATTCCCCAGGTGGTTAGTGCTGGGTGTCAGGTTTTAAGAGGCATGTTGGCAAACTGAGGCATAGCTGAAAGGAGGCGAGCAGCAAAGTGTGCAGCCTCGGATCTAGTGCATGCCAGGAGATACTGTTGAAGGAAGAAGTGTTTAACTTAAAGGAGAAAAGTCTTAAGATGATAGGATAGCAGTTTTCAGATATTTGAAGAGTATCATTATGCTGTGTCCTCAGCATAATTAAACTCAAGGGGTGGAAACTTTAGGGAGTTAGGTTTCAATTCATCAAAAAGTTCCTTATTAATGAGAGTTGTGGAGATAAAAGAATTATCACCCTTGGAGTTCATGAGTCCCCCATCCCTGATGGTTTTCAAGCGGAATCTGTATGGTGATGATTCTCAGTGTCAGGGACTACCCTCTTCCTGCTCGCCCTGAGCTCTGTTTCTTATCCAGCAGCCAGCCCACAGTGATTCTTATTTTAGTACTAATTGACAAATAAGTCTGTGGGTTAAGGAGTGGCCTTTCTTAATGGGCATTTAAAGATAGAAAGATCCCTCAATGTTAAGCAGTAGAGGAACAGTTAGACTAAATTATGGTGTATTCCAGCTATGGAATCATGTAGAAGTATTAGAATGAAGTCAGTTGAAAGATGTACATTATATTGCATAAAAAGAGCAAATTGCAGAACAGCATGTATGTTATGATCCGATTTAAATTAAAACAAGGCTCTATCTACCTCTCTAGTTATGGAATGATAGTCACCAAAGTGTAGCTTGTGGTCACAGTGGACTTAACCCTCCTAACGCTCACTCAGATTACTGGGGAGCATGAAGGAAACTTGTTAATTTTCACAACTGTATTTCTTAAAACAAACATAGTATTTGGGTATTTAAATACTTAAAGATGGGAGAACTCCAAGACCCAAAGGAATGAAGTAACTGTGCAAAGCATCAGATGGAGTGGGGCTATCCCAGCTGTAAAGCCAGCAGGGCTGCAGAGGGAAGTGTACGGAGAGAAGATAGAGTTGTTACAAACTTGGAGTCCTCAGGATCTTGGCAAATTGAATTTTGACAGGAACAGGGAAACTGGAAACAGACATTGACTGAGGAAATGAAATAATGGCATCTGCTTGAGCCCTGTTAAGATGAGAGCAGGATTTCAAAAAAGAAATGTCCCGAAGGTAGTGTGCAACTCCAGAGATGAGAGCTGGGGAGACAGAGATAGGGAAATCATTGACATCTGGGGGTGGACAACGCCAAGGAAAGGAATGGACTCGCTGAGGGAGGAGATGAGCTGAGACCACAGCAGAGACTCGCCCTGGCGAACGCTCCCCGTGGAGTGTGCGTGGAGGCGCTCAAAGAGAGGGCAGCTTTAGAAGGGCCATGTAGATGAGTGGCATGGAAATGGGTGAGTGGGAGGGGTGTTGCCGGGCCCTCAAGGGAGGAAGAGGGTTGAATTTTTTGAGAAAAAAGTTGTTGGGGATGGTGGAGAAGGCAGTTTTAGAAAAATGGTGAACCAAGCAAACTGCAGAGTTTAGGAGGGAATGAGGTTGGAGGAAATGTATAGGCAGCTCGCAGGAGAAATCCGATGACTTCAAAGAAGAGACACAAAAGACAGTGGCAGGAAGGGCCATGGGGAGTTTTGCTTTTGTTTTTAAAGACGGAGGAGACTTGTCCATATTTGAAGACGGAAGTGAAGAAATCACAAAACCCGTGGAGAAGAAGCTGACAGAGACTTGCCTGCCGGTGCAGCATGGATTACATGTGAGGGGACGGGAGCCAGCACTTGGTCACCTGAGGACATCGGGCGAAGGTCCCCTCTCCGCCCAGAAGGATGGGGGTGGGCCCGATTCACTTCATGGTAGAGACAGGAAGAAGTGTGGGGTGCTCCTGCCTTGGCTTTGGTTTTTCATTCAATTGAAGAATGCCTGTGAAAATTAATTTATCCGTATTTATTCTTCAGGAAGAGCCAAGTAGTTGGGAGTGATCAAAAGGGCGGGATGGGCTCATTGCGTCCTATGGAGCTAAGGCATCCTAAGGTGGCTCAGAGCGGCCTTGGTTTACAGCACTCATTCCCAAACAGCAGCCACCATCACAACCACTGGGAAGCTTTTTAAACATGGGGATTCCTAGGTCCCAGCCCTGATCTTTCTGAGTCAGAATTTCCTAAGTCCCAGTCTTAGACTCTTAGGGAATCTAAAGAATCAGCCTGCCTTTCACAAGCTGCCTGGGATATGCTTGAGCTCTGTAACAGGAAGAACATAAATACTCAGGGTAGTGTGAAGGTTTGTCTAAAGCTTTACTCCTTTAGGGACTTGTTCTAAATTTTTGCTCACTTGGGAATTTCAGGTCTCTCATGTTGATCAGGCTACATGTTATTTCCAAGGCCAAGCCAGCCTTTGTTGGCGTGGGTATGTGTTTTGTTGCTTACCATTCTTAGCCTACTGTGTTTTGTTTCTATAAAGATGCTAAGGCATGTCTGAGCGCCCTGGAATCCTTTTCTCTAGGTGCTATTCCAGCTCACAGGGTTTCCTCTTACTTGTGCCCCGTATAGTGTGTTCACTGTACTTTTAAACTTCGGTGGAAAACCAGGACTCTGTTAAGTTCCTTCCTTTCTTGATCTGACCAATGGAAATTACTGTTTTACTACTTTTTCTTTCATATTAATCCAGGGGTCTCTTAGTGATGTGACTCTCTTTTATACTCTTTCTTCTTTGAGGATAGAGTTTGCTGAATCGCTTCTGGTTCGGAAAATTGTTTTAAATTTGTAAAATAAGAATTTGAAACTATTGTATTTTCACAGGGGAAGTGGGAAGACAGGAGGGAGCTCTGTGGGACCATGGCAGAGACGTGCCCTGGAGAACAATTCCCATTAACTGCGTGTGAAAGAGCCATTTAGATGCTTGTGGTAGATGTGTTACACATATTTTCTTATGGAATTTTCAGAATTATCCTAACAATCTTATTTCCTTCACATTTTGTAGAAAAAAATCTAGGCTTATTGAGATTAGATCAGTTGTTCAAGAACATCCAGTTAGCTAGTGGTAGAACTGGTTGTCTGATGCCAGAGTCCATGCTTTTTCCAATATGGCACACTTACTACTTTGCTCAGATCTTCAGAATTAATAAAATGCGGCCATGGTAAGAAGGCTAGACCTTAGAATTAAATGGTTGTGCAAATGGAGTTGCCACTGGCTGGGGTTTAAATATTCCAGGCGGCTTAGGAATCTTCTTGCATGTCCTCGAGAGGGCTTTATATCAGTATCTGAATGAGCAAGTGGCGGTGGTCAAAGATGTTTTAGAAGAATCAACATAGAAGGTTATTTTTATTCCAAAGATGTTTCAGTTTGAAATAAATGTTTCTATCCAACTTGGTAAATAGTTTTATGATCGTATTTACAGGCTGCAGGTTCTGCGTAAAGCCCAGTGGCCTATGCTTTGCTTTCCACATGTCAGAGGGTGGAACTTGTTAAATTAACTGTGAGAAATTGATCATTGGGACTGACCCAAGGCTCTCTGGTGTTTCTTCTGAATTTCTGGTTAGTTTGTTTACTTTCAGATGTAGATGATTTCTTACTCACGTGGTTTTCTTAAGCCCCAAACACAATGGAAAGGTTTTTACTCCTTTCCGTTGTTTAAGGTGTGCGTTTGATAGAATATTCCTATTTGTGCTGCTTCTTCAAAGTCTCCCCAGGGCTCTGCCCCAAGGCAATGGCGTTCAAGGCTGACCTCATTGACTCTGCAGATTTAGACCCAGCAGCCAGCCAGGGAAGACTTGCTCAGCAACGTGCTTCAAACAGCATGTTCTTACCCATTCTACACAGGATCTCATTACCACTTCTCTTTCTGTTCCTCATTTCTTTATCCTGGTGATGAAACTCAGGACACGTGGGTTTTGAAGTGCTTGGACCTGGAGGGAGATGACACAGGGAATGGGTATGGCAGAAACATTGCTTAAGATGGAATACTTGTTGGTACAGCCATTATGGAAAC